ACATCCTGGAGCTGCCAACATTCTCTCTTCCGGTCACCCTGAACCTCAAGAGGAGACTAAGTCACCTCCTGATTCTCCAGGAACAATGCTCGCATCCGAACCACCCATTCTCCTGGCTGCTCTTTGAATTCTTATTCTCTCAGGTCACGAAAGGTTAACTGAAAGGAGACATTGTCCCTCTGGTTGCCTTGAAGACGTTCATTCTCAGGAGCTCAGATGACATCTCTCTCCTCTACATAAAGAACATCAAGAGGACTTGATTCTGCCAACCACTCACATGTGGTCACTAATCTGAGCTGCAGCTCCGGTGAGAGAGTAAGTGCAGACAGTGACCAGACATGTGAGTCCTCCCCCAGGACTTCACATTGAAGGGATCACACTTGATCTACAGTGAAAGGCTTCCAGTGGCTAGATCAAGGTAAAACTGAAATAGGATGTTGCTTCAGTACGTAAAAAAAAGCTGATGTATTCACTCTGTGCTAGTAACTTCTATAATGAAACAATTTCAAGTATTCCTGACAGCTTTTGTTAACAGGATTGTTCACATTTTTTATTAGAATTCATATTTTTAAAAGTACTTTTTTCATATCAAAAATCTTTTTTAATTTTGTTTGACTTAACTGATGACTTCGGCTGGAGGTCTTCGAAAACCTCCAGGACCAGCCACCACCATGCTGAGACCACTCTCCGCACACAGGAAGGTACTGGCAGAGGGACAAATCCATGCGGGTTCTGGGGCCAAGATCTCCCAGCCTACTCGGATTGGAGCCGAGCATCCTCCACCCAGATCCTCCAAATTCCAGTAGGCGGGGGTCACACCCACCACCTGGCCCCCTGGCACTGTGTAATCCCATCAACGGCCAAGACTCAGAGACTATAAAATATAGCTCCCGGAACAGCGCGGCCGCATTTGCAGCTGCGCGACATCTTATCAGGACATCTTTTTATGACATCTTATTATCTCATTCCTACTTTGGACAAACTTGCAGGCTATCAAATGTAGCCTGCCCACAGGGCAGAGTCTGGCAAACTCCCCCCCCCCACCCCGTGGCGTACCAAATATGCCAAATACCAGTAACAATGATGGGTCTCATTCTCCTAAAGAGCCGTGAATATAATCTCAGGGCTAGGATGAAGGAGACGTTACTGGGGCCTGCTTGAGGCAATCGACGAATAACAGGATGATGAAATGAAATGAAAAATGAAACTGATGACAGGACCTGATCAAAGGAGTTAAAGGGGAAGCAATATTATAACTAGAAAATGCCACACTGCAACTAGAAAATTCCCACCAAATAGCCAAAGCAATCCTAGGAAAAAATATAGAGTGCCTCACTTTCCTCAATTTCATCCATTTCTATACAGCTGTATTAGTTAAAAGTGTGGTGCTGGAATAAGAACAGACTCTCAGATCAATTTAATAGAAATCAGAATCCAGAGATAGATGCTCAGAAATATGGAAAATTAATCTTCAATAAAGAAATAAAAAGAAGTGGAGGAAGGAACGCCTCTTCAACAAGTGGTGATTGAAAAACTAGTCAGTTACCGGCAAACTAATAACAATAAAAATAATAATAATCATACACATTCCTAACACCATGCACAAAATTAAAAAAAAACAGATTAAAGACCTCTATCTCCGACCAATATCCAAGAAATAAAAGACGACATGAATAAATGGAGACACATCCCCTGCTTATAGATTGGGAGGATTAGCAACACCAAAATGACAATATTCTCCCAAAAGCATCATACGGATTCAAGGCAGGCCCCATTAGTATACCCACAGCATTTTTCAAATAAAATACTCCTGAATTTCATATGGAACAATAAGTCCTCATAAGTAGCTAAAGAAATCCTTGGAAAAAGTAGATGGGTGACTTCAAACTGTACTAGAAAGCTGCAGTAATTAAACAGAACTAGAGAGCAGCGATAATTAATAAAGACAGACCCTCATATCAGTGGAATTAAGTAGAATATCCTGACACAGTACCTCAAAATTATGATCATTTGATCTTTGATAAGGGAGCAAGAAATATGAAATGGAGTAAGGAAAGTCTCTTCAAGAAGTGGTGCTTGAAAAACTGGACAATTACGTGTAAAAAATTTGAACTCAAACTTATTTTTTTAATTAGTGAATCACCATGAGGTACAGTAGACTTACAGACTTTCATGCTTGGGTTTCAGTCGTACAATGATCGAGTACCTACCCCTCCACCAGTGCCCATTCTCCACCACTAAAGATCCCAGTATCCCTCCCACCCCCACACCACATCGCTGCCACCCCACCCTGCCACTGTGGCACGGCATTCCCCTTTTCTCACTCTTTCCTTTAGGGTGTTGTAGTTTGCAATAGAGGTTTTGAGTGGCCATAATGTTTGGTTCTATAGTCTACTTTCAGCACACATTTTGCATCCCGAGCGGAACTCAAACTTTTACTGGTGCCATGTGCAAAAGTCAAATCAAAAGGGATTAAAACCTCAATACCAGACCCAAATCCATTAGGTACATACATGAAATGTAGGCACAATTCTCAATGACATTGAAACTAAAGGCACCCATAAGGTTGAAACACCACTGACCAAGCAAATGGAAGTGAAGATAAACAAATGGGACTACATTCAACTAAGAAGCTTCTTAACCTCAAAGAAAACTATGACCAGGATACAAAGATGGCCTATGGAATGGGAAAAAAATATATACTCAACACTCATCTGATAAGGGGTTAATATCAAAGACATATAAGGCATTGAATGATAGAATTTAAAAAAAAAACGCCATGCAAACCTATGCTTTGTATGGAGTCAATCCAAGGGTTTGATTTTTTATTTTTCAAGATGAACACACTGCTAATGATCAGGGAACCATCTGGTGGGCTAGAAAATAACCTGGGTTTATCATTTGCAAGGCGAGCACTCTAACCAATGTACTATCGCTGTGGTCTCCAACACTGGTTTGATCTCTGGCACCCATAAAATCACCTGAGCACACCAGAAGGGATCCCTGAGTGCAGAGCCAAATAAATAAAGAACTCACAAAGCTCAATAACAATGACAATAAATCATCGACGACTCTCAAAACTTAGAATTTGATCTCCCATTTGACCCAACAATACCACTCCTGGGAATATATCCCAGAGAGGCAAAAAAGTATAGTCGAAGTGACATCTGCACTTGTTTGTTCATTGCAGCACTTTTTACAATAGCCAGAATCTGGAAAAGTCCTGAGAGCCCAAGAACAGATGACTGGTTAAAGAAACTCTGGTACATTTACACAATGGAGTACTATGTAGCTGTTAGAAAACATGAAGTCATGAAATTTACATACAAGTGGTACTACATGGAAAGTATCATGTTAAGCGAAATGAGTCAGAAAAAATGGGATAGACACAGAAAGATCGCATTCATCTGGGGAACATAAAGTAACAAAATGGGAGACTAACACCCAGGCAGGAGTGGCCGAGATTAGTACCAGGAATTTTTCTCCATGACTTGGAGGCCAACCACATGTGCTAGGGGAAAAGGAAGCTCAGAATGAGAAGGGAACACCAAATAAAGGGTGTTGGGAGGATCCTCCCAAGATGGGAGAAGGATGCTGAAAGTAGACTATAGACCAAACATGATTGCCTCTCAATGCTTCTCTTGCAAACCACAGGACCCAAAGGGAGAGAGAGAGAACAAAATGGAATGCCCTGCCCCAGAGGCAGGGTGGGATGGGGGGTTGGGCGGTGGGAGGGACGCTGGGACCCATGGTGGTGGAGGATGGGCGCTGGTGGAGGGATTGGTACTTGATCACTGTATAACTGAAACCCAAGCACAAAAATTTGTAAGTCTATAACTGTACCTCATGGTGTTTCACTAATAAAAAAAAATAATATAATTTAAAAAAAACGGGGAAGATGATTAATAGACATTCCCCTCAAGAGGACATGTGGTCAGCCAACACACTTAGAAAAAAGTGTTCTTTGTCATCTTTTATCAAATGCAAATCAAAACAATATTACAATATCATCTATCACTAGTGAGAGTGTCACATATCAAAAAAGTTTGGAGGGAGGATACTGCTGGCAGGTTGTAGTGCCAGAGGAATCCACATTCACTATCGGTGAAAATGTTCTCTGGCTCAAAAAAATATATATATATATTTGTATAAAAAGCAAAAAAACATGTTCTCTGGCTCAGGCACAAGAGAAACACTATGAAGACTTTTTAAAAATAAAGAATAAAAACCTAAGTGAGAGAATACAGGAATTAAGGCTCTGACCCCATATATGGCTGATGCCAATCCAATCCCTGGCTCTACATATAGTTCCTCTGAGCACCACCAGACTCATCTCAGAGTACTTTGGGGAGTGCCCCCCACTGTAGCTGAGCCACTACAGGCTCCACAGTGGACCCACAGACTTTCCCCATGGCACAGAGTGGTGGATCCCAGCTGACAACTCTCCCTCTGGCCATCAGTCGTTCCCGTGCTGTCCTGAGCACTGAGTCCTGCAGAGGGAAAGTGAGGAGGAAGCAGAGAGAGCAGAGAGAGGGGAAGGGGCTGGGGTGGGCCTGTGCCTGATGCCCAGAGCCCTGTCCTGGCCATGCTCGCTTCCACACATCCTCCTGGGCTGCTTCAAACAATCAGGGACCAAGAAGAGCAAAGATAAGCCGGCCAGGAAAACTCCTGGATTCCCCTGGGCCTTTGTGGCAAAAAGTGCCAAGATCTGAAGTCAGAGTCTGGGAGCTGAGCTGTGGTTCCTGTTTAGATTCATACTGAGGACACAGAACAGTTTCCAGGTTATGACTTGTCCTCCCTCTTACTGCTCAAGAGGGTCTTCAAGTACCTGTCCCCTAACTTGAGGGCTAGCTCAGTAGGAAACACACTGACAACATCTTTCTTTCATTTCCTGCCCCTACCCTACATGGCTCCGCCCCCGCCCCCACATACATGGCTCCGCCCCTCCACCCCCCACCCCCCACTGGTTTCGTTTCTGCTTTCAATCCAGTGGGAGTGAACTTCCTTGCCAGACCTGAGTGAATCTCAGCTACAGAGGAGACATCAGAGCAGTAGCTTGTGCTGACTGCTGTGTGGAGAAGGGACTGACAGTCCAGGCTGCATTTTTCTGTGTGTGTGTGTGTGTGTGTGTGTGTGTGTGTGTGTGTGTGTGGTGGGTCAGGGTTGAACTTTGCTTTCTTGTTCTCTTCACCTTTTGCTTTCACTTTCAGGTGACTCCATTTTTCCTACCAGGGATATGAGGCCCATGAAGGCCCCATAGTCACCCCTCAGGGCTCAGAGGACAGGAGAGTTTTCTCCCCAGAGGATAGCATCCCTCAGAGGTAAGTCATAGGCCTTTGATGAAAGTTTCTACAGGAGACTCTCCTGTCTCCAAGGGAAGAGCCCTATGATTAGAGAGAAACTGGCTTTCTAGTAACTTCAGTTGAATCCTGCTTTTCATCTTAGTACTGTGTGTTGGAGGTAAATTTTGTTATTATGCTTTATCCTTCCTTTACTCCCCTCCCCTCCATCTCTCCACAGTGGGATTGGGGCACATGCCCAGATCCAAAAGCAGCTGTAGCCTTGGGAGTGGGACATAGTTGAGCTCCTGACCCAGCTCCCCTGTGAGGTCCTCCCTTGTGGACTCTGGGGGACCAGCAGCCAGTGTAAGTAACCACAGACTAGGCCATTCCCATTGCTCCACACCTCACTACATCCTGGAGCTGCCAACATTCTCTCTTCTGGTCACCCTGAACCTCTGGAGGACACTGAGTCACCTTCAGGAGCTCTGCTCGCAGCCAGACCACCCGTTCTCCTGGCTGCTCTTTGAATTCTTGTTCCCTCAGGTCAGGAAGGGTAACCTGAAAGGACTCACTATCCCTCTGCTTGCCTTGCTGACTGGTTCATTCTGGGGGAGCTCAGATGACCATCTCTGTCCTCTACATAAAGAACATCAAAAGGACTTGACTCTTCCAACCACCGACATGCGGTCACTAATCTGATCTGCAGCCCCGGTGAGAGAGTAAGTGCAGCCAGTGACCAAACCGGTGAGTCCTCCCCCAGGACTGCCCAGTGAAGGGGAAAGGAAGAGTCGCAATTGATCTACAATGAGAGGCTTCCAGTGGGGAGATCAAGGTAAAACTGAAATAGGATGTTCCTTCAGTACAAAACAACAACAACAACAAAAAGAAATTGATGTATTCACTCTGTGCTATTAACTTCTATAATGAAACAATTTCAAGTATTCCTAATAGCTTTTGTTAACAGGACTTTTCACATTTTTTATTAGAATTCATATTTTGAAAAGTACATTTTCATGTAAAAAATCTTTTTTATCTTGTTTGACTTAACTGATGACAGGACCTGATCAAATGAGGTTAAGGAGAAGCAATATTATAACTAGAAAATGCCACATTGTGGCTCAAAAATTCCTCATCAAATAGCCAAAGCAATCCTAGGGGGAAAAAAATAGAGTGCTTCGCTTTCCGCAATTTCATCCATTTCTATTAAGCTTTATTAGTTAAAAGTGTGGTGCTGGAATAATAACAGACTCTCAGTCTCAGATCAATTGAATAGAAATTAGAATCCAGAGAGAGATCATCAGACATATGGAAAATTAATCTTCAATAAATAAAGAAAAACAAGAAGTGGAGTAAGGAACACATCTTCAACAAGTGGTGATGGAAAAACTAGTCAATTACAGTCAAAATAATAACAATAAAAATAAAAATAAGTATACACTTTCCTAACACCATGCACATAATTCAAAACAAAACTGATTAAAGACCTCTATCTCTGACCCATATTCATAAGTTATATTGAGAAAAATAGGTAAAACTGTGTACTACTTTGAAACTAGACTTCACTTTAAGAATCCAATGCCAACGGCAAAGTAAACAGAAGTAAAGATAAACAAATGCAATTACGTCAAACTCAGAACTTCTGTACCTCAAAAGAAACGATGGCCAGAATAAAAAGATACCCTGCCCTTCATCAGAGTGTGCATGGTCCTCTACATGGGTTCAGGGTTTCTCTCCTCTACACGAAGCCTTATATTCTCCATTAGAGTGAGAGATGAGAAAAAGGGGTTCTGGAAGGACAGTAAGGCTAAAGAGTCAGCTCTGTGACTTGGTCTGGCTTGCCGTCATGGAGACCAAGATGATAAGACTCCCATAGCTTCAGTTGGAATGGAAGGGTGGGAGCTTGCAGCTGTCTTGGTCAAGAGCAAGGTGGAAGGGTCTGGACAGTCCCCTTTGGTGTCAGTATGGTCCCTTGTCCAGTTGCCCATCTTGTCACTCTCCTTTGTGAGATCCAAGGCTTCTTGGGGCATTCAGGACACTCTCACTTCCAGCAATCAAGTTTGCCACAATGAAAGCAGAAAGTTTTGGGTGGAGAGGACTTCCGGGCACTCCTGTGGAGCTGGCCAGGCTTAAGAGTGGTCAGAAGCTGGGAGTACCTTTAGTCTTCTTTACTTTGATCTTTTGTCTCTCTTGTGACCCCTTTCTGTCATCTTTGCTTATCCTGGTAATAATAATGAGAGGAAATTGCTCTAATTTGGAGACAGTAAGTTTCTGACTCTTCTGGTATTTTTTCCCTCAATCTCTAGTTGGTTTATGGAAGAGGCAAGAATTCTGAGACTATTAGTGTATTGGAGGGTGAAAAATATTAGTCTATAAGGTATCTCTGCCTCCTCCTTAGATCATTTACAAAAGAAATAGGATGGCTGGATGGTATTGTAATAAATGGAACATCCCTTTGACCAAATCTCCTCATTCTTTAAATTATATTTGGGTTAAACCTTCTCACAGAGAAAAACAGTACCAACTATCCTATCTCTCCCATCCCCAGATTTTTCTTTTATGCATTACTTAGAATGCTTTTATTCTCAAAAACAATTCCACTAAAACTTGTTCAGGACAACAGACACAGTCTTAGTCATTTAAAAAAAAAAACTTGCAGGGTTGGCATGTGAGTTAGGCTAAGTTATCTTCACTCCAGAAGATATTCTCTATGAGTCTAAAGAGATAGTTCTTATAGTTAGACAAAGATGCTTTAACATGTAACTTTAGTTTAAAAAGCACCATTAGTGATTGAGATATTACTGTCATGTCAAAAAAGCATTTGTTTCGTACCTCATCCTGCCTCTATTTCCTCCCCACAAACAGTCAACATTGAAAATAGAGAAAAGATCCTCCCAAAGTTGTAACTATCTATATGGATGAAGGACAAAGTCCTGTGTTTCCTATTGATACCCGTGTTTCCATGTTAGGTACTCACTGGTGGACACCAAGGGACATAATGCCAGGATCCACAGAAGCCTGTCATTCCTATCTGTTCTCACTGCTGACTTCCAGGTTTCTTCCATGACGATGGGCTCTAGTCATTCTGATCTTCCGGGAGACCAGGTTGTCCTGAAGAAGTGACAGTCACCTCTCTGTTTCTCAAGAACTCTGCTCTGAAGATAACCCCTTCTCCTCCCACCTCTTTCAATTCTCTGTCTTCAGGTCAGAGAGGCTTATGGGAAGGGCACACAGCTTCTTTAGGGTGTCAGTTGACCTTATTATCATTTGGAGCCTGGGTCTTTTTACCCATACTTTTTTATCATTATTTGCCGTGGAAGTAAGTAGCAAGAACTGTGAACTAATGATCCAGTGCAGACATTTTTTTTTTATGAATCCTATAAACTCTACCTAATTGCAATATCAGTTACAAGGAAATAAAGTAGTAGTGATGAGCTACCTTTTCACAGAATGGGAGTCTCACGCTCATTCCATGAGTTTCTCTTTCTTGCTCCATCCTTTCTGAGGGAGCCTGTCTTTTTCTCACTCTCACTGAGTCCCATGTCCAAAATATTTCTAGAAATGAAATGGAATCTTTGATCTGGTCTCATTTCACCACAGACTCAAGCAAATAATAAACAACTGAAATTCAATAATAGCAGTTAGATTCAAGGAATTAACATTAAATTTTATTTTATTTTATTTTAATTATACTCAGGGCTATAGTGATAGCACAGCAGGTAGGGTGTTTGCCTTGCCCACAGCTGACCCAAGTTCTATTCCTCCGTCCCTCTCGGAGAGCGCAGCAAGCTATGGAGAGTATCCTGCCTGCACGGCAGAGCCTAGCAAGTTCCCCATGGCATAGTTGATATGCTAAAAACAGAAACAAGTCTCAAAATGGAGACGTTACTGGTGCCTGCTTGAGCAAATCAATGAACAACAAGACAACAGTGCTACAGTGCTTAATTATACTAAGTTTAATGGACCAAGTGTGATTGTGCCACAGTCATTCACAACACAGCTCCATAAAATAAATCTTCTCAATCCCAATCCATATCTCTCTCAGACAGATTTCAAGCTCAGAGGAGTCCCATAAACTCTGGTGGAGTGCATTTCTCAGACACTAGAAATTTCTGACTGCTTCATCCCTGCCTCTTGATCCAATATTGCAGCATTTCCAGGAAAACCATGGCCTCAGCTACATTTATCAAGAAGTTGAGGGTGGAAGCTACCTGCCCCATCTGCCTGAAGCTGATGACTGAGCCTGTGAGCATTGACTGTGGGCACAGCTACTGCTGTGTATGCATAAAGGTTCTTACTCAGAATCAAAGCTCTGAAACATCATCTCCGGGAACATTTAATTGTCCCAAGTGTCGGAAACCTTTTCAAAGTGGTAGTCTCCGGCCCAACAAGCAGCTGAAAGGTATTATCGAAATCTTTAAGGAAATGAATCAGAACATGTGTAATGAACACGGAGAGCAGTTCCATCTGTTCTGTGAAAATGATGGTCAGCTCATCTGCTGGTGCTGTGAGCGGTCACCACAGCACAAAGGACACGGCACTGCTCCTGTTGAAGTTGCATGCCAAGTTTACAGGGTGAGTGTGGGGTCCAGAAAGCCTCCGAATAACCTCATCTGCAGTTGCTCTGGAATCTGTTTTATTTATTTGACAGAAATTATTTTCACTGTAGTATATGCTTCAGATGTGCTCTCTCACTTGCTGCAAAAGTGACTTGTCACAACATCCACACTAAAAAATGCTGAACTCCATCTGCCTCTATCCACTGATCAACTCCACCATCTAACTCCTCAAGGCATTTTTTGGTGCCTGTTAGCAATCTGTATGTCTTTTGTAGAGTAATCTGTATTTTAGGGTCAGAGAGATAGTACAGAAAGGAAGGTATCATTTTTCCTTACTCCAGTTCAAATCCCAGATATGTCACATGGTTCCCCAAGCACCACCAGAAGTGTGAACCAGGAGAATGCTCTGAACACTTATAAGTGGTGTCTGCAACAGTAGCAAAAGGGAGTAATCTGCCTTCACTTCTGTCCTTTTCAATGTTCTTCTTGGCAATGGTACTTGGTGTACTTTATGATTTTTTTTTACAAATCTTGCTTATTAACATCTTGTTAGATATGGAGGTATGATAGTTTCTCCTTGTATGTTTTTGTTTCACTGACATTTTCTTTACCTTGGAGAAGTTTCTCTTTGATTCCACATACTCTCAAGTAATTTTTGCTTGTTTTTGTTTCCCTAGTTATTGAAATCAACTCTTCAAAGTTAATGTTGAAGCCGTGTTTGAATATTTTTATGTACTTTCCTCTTTGTGTTTTATGGCTTTAAGTTTTTAGTAAATTTTCAGGTAATTTTTGTATATGGTGTTAGGAGCAGTCATTTCTGGGTTTTGTAAATGGATATCTAATTTCCCCATCACTATTTGTTGAAGAGACTTTCCTCTCTCCATTATATATGCCAGTATTATTGCTTATCACAATTGACCGTATTGTATGGCTTTATTTCTGGGTTCTTGGTTTTATTCCATTTATATGAGTGTATATGTCTGTGCATATTTTTTCTAATATTGTGTAATCTTAATGATCTTAGCCTTATAATATTGTTTTAGTTGGGAACAAGTATTTCCTATGTATCTTTCCTCAGAACTCCTTTGGCTATTTAGGGTATTTTGTGATTCTTACAAATTTTAGTTAATTTTTTTGGTGTCTTTGACACAGCTACTATAACTTTTATAGGTATTGTATAGAATCTTTGAATTACTTTGAGTAAGGTGGCCAGTTTAACAATGTTAATTTTTCCTATAGATATATAGTAACATCTTTATATTTTTACCTCCTCTTATTTCTTAGATCAATGTATTAATAGACCTTACACAGGTCCTTGACCTCTTTTATTATGTTTATTCCTTGTTTCCATCTTTCTAAAGTACTTGATTTTGTGGCCACACCTGGTAACGCTCAGGGTTACTCCTGGCTTTTACATTCAGAATTACTCTTGATGGTTCTCAGAGAACCTTACAGGATATCAGAAATCAAATTCAGAGCAGCTGTGTAGGGGATGAGCACCCTACCAGCCCTAATTCCTTCAGGTGCAAAAGAAGTTTTTTTAAAGCTTCTCACAATACTGGTTTCAAAGCTATAAATTCCCTAAGTTGTTGTCTATCCATGAAGCTCTTATAGTTCGTTCAAATATGTGTGATAATCTAAGTGGATAAAGCAATCTTGGGTAAGTATTCATTTCACTCAGGTTTTGTACTATGTCCCTCCATTCTCTTCTGTCTCGTAGTCACGTTTCAAACATCGGTTGTAAGTCTTAAGGGCTTTCGATTCTACATAAGTTGCTTTTTTGATCTTGTTGATTTCAATATTCTGTCTCTAATTGTGGATTTTATCATTTTGAGGATCTAGTTTTCCTTGTTGAGAATATTTTCTTATCCATTGCCATTCTGGAGGATGTGATGGATCCATCAGGAGGTCGGAGGGCAGTCATCTTGGTCTTGTACTTGGCGAAGGACAGGCGGGCGTTACGAATACTTTTCCTGGCTTCTGCTGCATCTACCAGTACTTCTGCTCTTCTCTCTTTGAGGTCTTCCTTGATTGCATCTCTGCACTGCTTTGCATGCTCGGATGTTAGCTGGCAGTTGCCTGAGGCATGCGCCAAACCACGCTGGCGAATTAGCTCAAGAGTTTTCGAAGATTGGAGATTTTTTGTGGCTATCTCTCTCTTGGCGTTCCTCGCACATTCATGGAGGTGCTGAACCAGTTGATCGTATTCCTCGTCAATGTTGTCAACAATGGCATCTTCCCATGTTGCCGCAATAGTACCAAAGAGTTCCCAGTTGGTGGTCGTTCAGGGAGTTCTCTTTTTGAACTTTGCAGCCCTTTCTCCCTGCTCTGTGAAGTAGAATTTTGCACGAAGGAGACAGTGGTCCGATCCCGTTCGGAATTTTGGGACAACAGTGACATCGGTCAGGTAAAACCGTCGATTGAATATGATGTGGTCTATTTTGTTGTGGAATCGTCCACCGGGAGACTCCCATGTCCATCGTTTAGATTCTGCCTTCTGGAACTGTGAGTTACCATGGATGGTCTTGGTCGACATGATGAACTCAGACAGTCTCTCACCCTGTTCGTTCCATTCTAGGCCATGGGTCCCAATGTGAAGTTCTTCAGCTGATATTCTCGGTCCTATCTTGGCATTAAAATCACCCACAATGATTTTGTAGAAGGTGTGGTCTTCTTTATAGAACTTCTCCAGATCCATGTAGAACTTCTCAATTTCTCCTTCATCATAATTGGATCTTGGTGTGTAGACAACGAAGATAGAAACTGCAGGCAGTGAGCCGCATCTATTCAAATGTAAACGTCCGATTTGGGTTGTTAGGCATTCGAATGAATCAATGCTCTTGGCCAAGTTTGTGTTGACGAGGACACCGACGCCTCCGACACCTCTTTTATCGCATGTTCCGAGGAATAATTCTTCTCCAGTGTCGAAAACAGCATGGTGAGATTCATGCCTTCTTGTCTTGGTCAGACCAATGATGTCGTACTTGATCATTCGCGCTTGTACCATCAGGTCCTCGATGGATGCATCTGATGCTAGTGTACGTGCATTGAAAGTACAGACGATCATTTTTGTCTTCTTTCGTTGTGGCATCCTTGGTCGGCCTTGAGATTTTGTCGGCCTCTCCTTTCTCATCCTTCTCAGTGCTGCCATGAAGCCTTCAGGGTCAGGTGAATGAGACCAGTTGTAGTTACTGGTTTTGGCATATCAAATACACAACAAATAGCTTGCCAGGCTCTTCCATGTGGGCGGAATACTCTCGTTAGCTTGCCAGTCTTTCTGAGAGGGATAGAGGCTTTTGGGGCGACCTCTGATCACCCTTGTAGGTGTTACCATATTTGAACCCTATCAAATATGGTGCGACTATTCCGGAAGATGGGTATTTAGTGTCTTATGATGTGTCATAAGCGAAGCGGCCGCGCGGGTCCGGAAAGCGTCCTGGAGTGTGGCGACGGCTGGGTAGTGGAGGTAGTCCATGACTTCTACTCAAATCTCTTCGATAGCCATGTCCACTTGCCGACATACCAAATTCCACAGGATGGATATGTCGTTCCCAACGTCCTCCCTTCTGAAATCCGACACGCCATTTCGTTGGTAAAGAAACAAACAGCACCCGGCCCAGACAAGGTCAGACCTGAACACCTGAAAAACCTGCCGTCAGTACTCACCAATACACTGGCTCGGCTGTTCACTCGCTACCTGTCTGAATGCAAGGTTCCATCCCAATGGAAAACCAGCAGGACCGTACTACTGTTCAAGATGGGAGACATCCATGACATTGACAACTATCACCCGATCTGCCTATTGTCTGTCATCTACAAGTTGTTCACTCGAGTCATCCTAAATAGGATTGGCAGAACACTAGATGAAGGACAACCATGCGAACAAGCCGGGTTCCGCAAAGGATTCAGCACCATCGACCATATCCACATGATAACCAAGCTCATTGAGGTTTCTCGGGAGTTCAAGATGCGCTCTGTTTAACATTCATTGATTTAAAGAAGGCCTTTGATTCTGTTGAGACGGAAGCGGTCATTGAAGCCCTAGCCAGTCAGGGAATTCAAGCCCAATACATCAGGATGCTCCGTGAGCTGTATTGTGGATTCACTACCAGGATCTCACCATTCTACAAAGAAGTGATCGTTGATGTCAAGAGAGGGGTGCAGCAGGGTAATACCATTTCACCGAAACTCTTCAGTGCCACCCTCGAGAACATCATGCGACAACTGGAATGGGAAGGAATGGGAGTGAAGATAGATGGTCGGCAACTACACCACCTCCGCTTTGCTGATGACATTGTTTTAATAACACCAAACATCAGCCAAGCGGCACAAATGCTGGCTGACTTTGACCATGAGTGTGGAAAGGCAGGACTACAGCTGAATCTTACGAAGACAATGTTCATGAGAAACAGCCTCGTTCCTGATGCCCCATTCGTTCTCAACGGAACGACCATCTCCGAATGCAACAGCTATGTGTACCTAGGTCGAGAAGTCAACATGACAAATGACCTGGCACCCGAGCTGCGTAGAAGGAAGAAAGCGGCTTGGAACGCCTTCAAGAATGTTGAAGAAATAGCTAAGAGGACAAAGAACCTCCATCTCCGGGCACATCTCTTTGATTCCACTGTTCTTCCTGCATTAACATATGCCTCAGAGACCTGGGCCCTACGCAAACAAGATGAGAACGCTATTCAGGTCTCCCAAAGAAGAATAGAAAGAGCTATGCTTGGAATATCATGTTTCACTCGAATGAGAGAAAGAATCTGGAGTTCTGACATCCGTCGACGATCAAGAATCAGGGACGCTGTCTCTTTTGCCAAGGTGTCAAAAATCAGATGGGCTGGTCACGTAATGAGATTTAAAGAGGACCACTGGACTAGAGCTGTTACTGACTGGATTCCACGGGATGTCAAAAGACTGCGTGGCCGCCCACCTACCAGATGGTCAGACTTCTTCGTCAAGATCATGAATGATCGGTTTGAGGCTCTTCATGTTGCCAGAGCAAACAGATGCCATGGGCTACACTAGCATGCGACAGGGACAAATGGAGATCTTACTGGTGCCCGTTCGAGCAAATCGATGACTAACGTGAAATTAAGTGATTAAGTGATTAAGTGAGAATATTTTCATAGGGAACCTTCAGGCCTCTTGGATTTCAGTGCCTGTATTCCTCTACTCTAAGAAATTCCTATTAATGATTTCTTTACCTAATGTTTATTCATAAAATTTCCTTTTCTATTCTTCAGCAACTATGATGATTCATATATTCTTCCACAGCGGTAGGGCGCTTGCCTTGCACTCAGCCAACATGACCAACTCGAGTTCGATTCCTCCGCTCTTCTCGGAGTGCCCGGCAAGCTGCCGAGAGCATCTCGCCCACATGGCAGAGCATGGCAAGCTACCTGTGATGTATTTGATATGCCAAACACAGTAACAACAAGTCTCATGATGGAGACGTTACTGGGCCCGCTCGAGCAAAGTGATGAACAACGGGAGGACCATGACTGTGACCATATTCATCCTATAGTGCCCTGGTGTAATGTTTACTTCCTTTTAACACTCAACAGGATTGTTTAGTAGCAGTTTCCTCCATCTCATCTTGAAGCTCCTTGATCTTATACTCAGCTGCATAATTTGGCTGCTATCAGCTTCTGTTATGGCTTTTTGCTTTTAATGTAACTTACCCTGCTCTTCATTTTGCCATTTCTGATTGGAGCTTTCTCATCTTGACTCTTAGACTTCTTGGGCTTTGCTGCATACCTCTGCCACATATTCTTTGAGCTCATTAAACATCTTTATCATGGTGGCACTGGCAAAAAGTCACTGAGGATTTAGAGAGCTGGTTGTTGTTGTTTGTGCCTTCAAGGGTATTATTTCCACTCAGTGAACTGGGCAGGCCTTTACCATTGGTTTTCTAATGTTCTGGGGGAGTCTTTGTAGATAGATACCCTGGAAGGTGCTGAGGTATTAGGCTGGGGATTGCTCTCTTCTCTGCCTCTCATCACTGAATGACCTGAATTATAATTATGAGCAGTGTGTGATTTGCTGTGTATGTCTTTTGTGCAGTTACATAGGTGGCATGTGCTCTAGAAGCTGGGTGTGAGCCTGCTAATATAGCCCAGGTCAGGTGTAGAGGCTATTGGGACCTAGCCGGAAAGGAGGGTTCTGCCTCCCTTCCCAGAGTGGGTCCAGCGATGGCAGCCTGAGTCTGGTCTCAACTGCAATGGTGTCAATGCAAACAAAGTTCAGGTGCTGTCTAATAGCGTTTCTATCCTGCTTTTTAAAGCACTTTTTTTCATAAAAGAATATTGAATCTCATCATTTGTTTTCTTTCTCTCAATTGAAATATAGTTGTATGAATCTTATCTTTCTGTTGCTGTGATATAGTTTTTTTTTACTTTCTTATTCTCTCAATTGAAATGTAGTTGTATGAATCTCATCTTTTTTTTCATATGTTGAACAGCTAACAAGTACATGATATATGATCCTAACAGTGTACTGTATTGCATTTTTTGGCATAGATATTTTTGACAATTTTTAGGTCTATGTTCAATGCTGGTGATTTATTTTATCTTTAGGTTTTCTTCTTGACTTATTTTCATATTAGAGTAGTGTTGTACTCAGAAACTGTGCATTCAAGTTCATCATTTCCTTGACTTTATTGGTATAATTTCAAAGGGTATTCAGATATCTTTGAATCTTTTATAGATCTCACTGTTGAAAGTTCTAGTAATGGAATTTCCTTTGGAATGAGAATTTTTTTTTTTCCATTTTTGGAGTGCATTCTAAAAGGACCCCCTCCTGAATAAATAGCAGTACTCCTCCATTTAAAAAATAAAAGGACCCCCTCCCAATTACACGCAAGCTAATACTATATACCTGGATCATTCTAGGCACTCAGGGTACTGTCTCAACCTTGTTAGAAGATGATGAGGTATGCAAACTAATAATTGAAGTCTGCCTGTATCCTTCATGTGGTAGAAAAGTCATTAGAGGTCGGAGTGTCCTATACTCAGGACTGATGACAAGGACACAGAAAACAAGGCTTGCTTGGCACCATGCCTAGGCCAGAGGGTGTGTAGAAAGAAAGATAATTGAAGACACAGGAGTAAAATTTAGGCCTTAAACCATGATCACGGTTGAGAGGATGAATCATACCTCAGAGGAGGACTGGGAATGGAATGTTTTTTATTGGTTAATAAGGACCAATTTTGACATGAGAAGATTATTCTGTTTCAATATAAACTAGAGCCATCAGTTTCTGAAGTTCACATAACTTCCACATGTATAGGGTGGGGTCATAGTTAAAGATGTAGAGGAGTTGTTAACTATTTAGAAATAAAAGCCTGTGAATGAAGTCTGGTGAGAGATTTAGATTAACATATTTTCAAAGGCACATATGATGATTGCTTTGACTGTGGTGGGAGAAAGAAGTGGGCATTGTCCTGCTGCCTCTTTCCTTAGTCTAATATGGGATTGAAGAATATATTGTTCCCTTGGACAATTTACTTAATCCCATGCAAAGAATTGATTTCTATAACAGGAACAATGGTAAACATCTTACCAGCTTTGCAGTTTGCCACGGAGATCAACTGTGTTATTGGACTCATAATTGTCCACATGCTTTCTCTCAGCATCTAAAGGCTCAACAAATACTCAATGTTATTCTAATTATCTGAAAGCCTATGATTTATGGTATATGCTGTGAAGACTTTTCCAACTGAATAAACTAACACCCATTTTTTCCCACAGGAAAAGCTCCAGAGAGCAGTCACAAAACTGAAAAGCACAGAATCTAAATATATGCAGCTGAAGCTAGATACAACTCGGAAAATAAGTAGTTGGGAGGTGAGAGTTTGAAGCTTCTTGTGGTCAAACTACATGCCATCATCTTGTCTAAGAGTAGGTTGTGCTTGGTGAAAGCACTATAACAGTACATTATTCAATAAATGGTCCAGATTGTTAAAAGTAATGTAGAAAGCATCACTTCCCTTTACTCCTTTGGTTATATGTGTCTATTAAATTTTTGCTTCAAATTCTTCAACCTTGTGATAGTAATAATTTAGAATTCCCAATATCTGAGTTTACGAAGTAGAAATATTGTAGTCTACTTGAAAGATCCTTGACAGGATTCAAATTCTCAAACTTTGAATATACCTACCTGTTTTGAAGCCTCAACTGCATCATTTTGATGCATTTACCACAGGGCAGCATCTAACACTCAAGCTTTCCAGCTTCAGAGACCCACTGTTTGTGGACACTTAGAAAGAGATTCATTCTGATGAGATGCAATGAACTCAATTTAATGAGGCTGTTAATGTGGAGAACCAGAACTACCATAAGAACATACAAAAGACAACTACAGTGTATGGGTCTCTGGTTCAGTAAATAACCAGACTCCCTATGAATGAAAAGAGATTTGTTTACAAATATATTGATATAGTACATTAGTCTGGAATATCATTGCACTGACCAGTGAGTCATTTTGGCTTTTTCATGGTGTCTTAAACCTCAGTCCTCACTCTTTATGTGCAAATCTCAAATATGATCTCTCAAAAGACAGCCCTTTGCTTTCATATCTGGGATCTTGATTGGTGGGAAGATCATCACAATCAAAAGTAAATAAATAAACACCTTTCACGAACACATGACTTGAAGCTAAGCCTATTTCCCACTTAAAAATAAAAATTTTGCTCGTTTTTGCCCAAAAGCAGATGACTGGTTAAAGAAACTTTGGTACATTTACACAATGGAGTACTATGTAGCTATTAGAAAAGATGAAGTTATGAAATTTACATTCAAGTGGTACTACATGGAAAGTATCATGTTAAGCGAAATGAGTCAGAAAGAGCGGGATAGAAACAGAAAGATTGCATTCATCTGGGGAACATAAAGCAACAAAAAGGGAGACTAACACCCAGGAATGGCTGAGATTAGTACCAGTAATTTTGCTCCATGACTTGAAGGCCAGCCACATGTGCTAGGTGAAAAGGAAGCTCAGATAGAGAAGAAAGCACCAAATAAAGGGTGTTGTGAGAACCCTCCCAGGGTGGGAGAAGCATGCTAAAAGTAGTCTATAGACCAAACATGATTGCCACTCAATGCCTCTCTTGCAAAACACAGTACCCAAAAGAGGAGAGAGAGAACAAGGGGGAATACCCTGCCACTGAGGCAGGGTGGGACGGGGGGGGGGGGGGGATGCTGGAACCCGTGGTGGTGGATGATGGGCACTGGTGGAGGGATGGGTATAACTAAAACCCAAGCACAAAATTTGTAAGTCTATAACTGTACCTCATGGTGTTTCACTAATAAAAAAAAGAAAAAAATATTATCCTAAGTATTTTCTTATCCTAGGATAGGAAAATACTATCCTAACAAAAGATCGCATTTCATTTTGTTCTAGCTACATAAAAATTTAAGAATAGGGAAATATAAATTTAAAGAATATAGATTGGTAGTTCCCTAATATACCAACCCTTACAGGAGCTGCTGGTTAACGGATGAAGCTGAGAGAAACTGGGGATAACTATTAAGGAGGAGGTAATTTTTAGAGAAAAGAAAACATACCAAAATTTTTATTGTGAGGACCACACATAAAAAACTAGTGCATTACAAATGTATAATGATATATTTTGAATTGTATCAAAATAAATTGAATAAACTTTTATTTTATGTGTTTAAAAAATTTTACTCATTTATTAATTTCATAAACATTGTAATACTTTCTGAAATGGAAAGTTAAAATGAATATTAAAGTTTAGTCCCCACCCCTACCAGATAAAATCTGTGTCCTATAGATCATTTTGTTTTAGAAATTTTCACACATTAAGGTGGTGAGTTGAATCCAGGGTTGATATTTCTAGTATTTATGATTAGAATCTGCCAACTGGGCCTCTCCCTGGTGAGACTCATGAACTCGCTAGGGTGGTCATCCTTACTCCAGTTGTGATGTCTCAGCTGGAAACTTCAATAAGGTTCAAGAAGAAACTTCAGGGGTTTCTTGAACCAAAAGTTTATCTGAAACACAGGAACACATGTTTATTTCAAAATAAAAATTCATATTTATTTTTATAACTCATATTTCATTTACTTTGGCCAAGCTCTATTCTGCACTTTATTCATACTACCTATACCAGCTTCTTGGTGTACAGAAGAAATTTTACCAGAAAATTAGATCTAATTCTGATGACCTTATCTACCTGTGAATTTCTTCTTCCCAGGCATAACTAGTGAAGGAAACATGGATAACTCTTCAGGCTACATCACCCTAACTGAGGAAATTTGTGTGTGTATGAGTGTCTGCATGCATGTGTCTAAGCATAACATAAAATCACCATATTACCCTTTAGAGTGGACAGCTCTGTAACAGTGTTTGTACATATGCTTGTGCATCCATTGCCTTTATCCACCTGCAAAACTTGTTCATCATCCAAACTAAACCTCTCTTCCTATTCCTAATTTTTCTTCCTCCTGTTTTCTAGTATTCACTGTCTCTATGAATATGACTTATTTCATAAAAGCAGATTTTTATAATATTGGCTTTCTGCTTCTGAGTTACTTGTTTTGCTCACTGTCTTGCTGATTGATCCATGTTGCACTCTGCATCAAATATTCCTTATTTATTTCCACTGAATAAGTTTCAGCTGCTTCTGTGTGTGACTCATATTGGATATGAATCTATCCATTAATGAACATTTGGGTGTACTCACTTTCTGAGCACTTTTTTACCTTATAGGAGAAAATAAAGCATGAGAAAGAAAGAATCAATTCTGAATTTAAACAACTTCACAGTTTCATGCACCTGGCAGAGGAGTATTATATGCATAGTCTAGAGAAAGAAAAAGAACAGAAGCTCATCAGACTGAAGAACAATGTAGCCCATCTGGACAACAAAGTAGAAGAACTCAAGAACAACATCCTGGAACTGGACAAGAAATGTCAGGACTCAGCGCAGACTTTGCTGCAGGTGAGTCTGAGCACTTGTAGGAAACAGAGATGTCTTATTCCCATGCTACTGAGAACAGAGGGTAAGAAATATGGAAGATTCACGAGGTCTACTTCCTCAGTTCAGACTCCTCCTTTTAACTCACTGTGTGCAGCGCGACACCCTGTAGTTCTACTAAGATGAATGAACTGTTGAATTTCAATTTTCTTATTTTGAGTAGTATCTCATTGTATGTGTACCACAATTTCTTTATCCACAATGTGTTATTGGGGTATTTGGAATGATTCTAATTCTTGGCCAATGTAAATAGTACTATAATAAACACAGAGAAAGCAAATACCTTTGAAAATTAATGTAAATTTATGTAGTTGTGGTCTTGAAATGATCCTCAGAACAGGAAACTCTAGATTTTATGAGAGCTCAATTCTTATTTTTGGTGGTCTCCTATGATATTGTGATTCTATGTACTCTTTTCATATCAAGGCAACTGTGTATTTATAAAAGATGCCATTGTTTCTCTGCTTTCCCCCATTTTATATTTTCATTATCTACTGTTTCCGAGTAGGATCTCTTTGCTTTTTAAACAAGACCCTGTAGTGGTTTTAATAAATTGGTTAAATGGTAATGAATTTCTTTAGTTTTAGTTTTGTTTTCTTTAATGCTTTCAAGTTTAAATGATGACAAATGATAGAGTATTCTTATTGGGATGTTTGTTTCATTCAAATTGTTCCTTGTGTCAAACAATACTAATCAAGAGTTTTCATTTGAATCTTTTGGTGGTTCTTTGTATACAAGTTTCATTTGTATCTTGGTGCTCTTGCAATCCTATTTCTATGTTTTGCTTTTATCATTTTAATTACAGCATGTCTTAGAGTTCTTTGATCTGGGTTACTTTTATTTAGAACACCTTAGTTCTATTAGAACTATTAATATATTGGATCTGGATGTGGGAGTCAGTACTCAGAATGGGGTAGTTATCAGCCACAATTTCATTTCTTTTTCTATTTTTTCAGTGATGCAAGGTAGTTTTTATTCAAACTTACAGGAGCGATAGCACAGTGGGTAGGGCATTTGCCTTGCACACAGCCAACATGGCCAACCCGAGTTCGATTCCTCCGCCCCTCTCGGAGAGCCCGGCAAGCTACCGAGAGTATTCGATATGCCAGACACAGTAACAACAAAGTCTCCAATGGAGACGTTACTGGGCCCGCTCGAGCAAATCGACGAATAATGGGAGAACAGTGACATACTGGAAAGATATGAGAGCACAGAAAGAGGATACATCTGTTCAAGAAAGAACATAGAAGCAAAGAATATACAGAGACAAGTGAGATATGTGTTCAAAGTGTTCAACGGAGAACATGGCCTTGATGAGCAAGAGATAGCTATAATTGTTTGAAACACTTGTTCCCCATTCTCACTTTCCTTTTCTTCAGCGACTACTTTTTTGTTTTTGTTGTTTGTTTTGGGGCCACAATTGGCACTCAATCCTTGCTTCTGTCTGTGTTCTCAGGGATCACTCCTGGGGTGCCAGGGATCAAACCAGTGTAGGTGATGTGCAAGGCAAACATCCTACCCACTCTACTATCACTCCAGCTTCATCAAGGCCTCCTTGAATTTGATTGCTGTTCCTCTTATAATTAGCCCATAATGCTCTCATATACCTTTCATATTTTTTTCTTCTACTTAATTGATAGCTTTCTAAATCTTATTTTCTTATTTGATTTGTTCTTTGACATCTGTCACCCAGTTGCTGGAACCTCCAAAGAAGTTTTAAATTTATTTAAGTTCAGATACTCCCTGACTAATACTTTGTTTTGCTTTGTTGATTACCTTTTCTATTGCTTTCCTTAATTCATTCAACCTTATGATTTTTACTTTGAAGTTCTCAACTCAGAAAATGAGCAAAAATTCTCTTGGTTGCTTGGGAACTTTTTAGATGTTCACCCATTAATTTGCATTTACTTCTTTTTAGATGTTTACCCATTAATTTGGATTTACTTCTTCCTCTTCTTTATTGTGTCTCCTGAGCTGTGAGAGTTCTAGTTTTGTGCATTTACGGTAGCAAATATAAGGCTCGATTATATCCACCATTACCACAGAGAACCTGTGGGGCTAAGTTTGTGCTGCAACCAGTCACTACCAAGACTTTGCCGTACTCAGCAGCACTGTCCCTTGAGCTTCATAGTTTGAGTGACTCACCATGCCCCTGCTCTCAGTCCTTCAGTGTAGGCACTAGTGCACATCAGAACCATAAACCATACTTCCTTATTTCTTGCACCAAATGTGCTCTGTATCAGAATCTCTGCATCAGATGCACTATGTGTGTGTGGGTGGGGTAGGGGAGTAGGAGACTGGGGGTGGAGATATGGAGAGAGTGGGGTTCTCAGGGGTGTAGTATGGTCTTTGTAGTCATCTCAGACAGGCAACTGAGCTGCCTTAACCACATCTCCATACTCACTGTTTTATTCCCCTGGCCCTGACAAAAAAACTCAGCTTCCTTCATCATGTGGTGCCTGTTATCAGTACCTAAGCATTTCAGTCACTGGGACTCTGGATGGACTCAGGACTTTATGTAAGCAGTGTCCAATATGAACTCACTCTAAGGAAATCACATCATTGAAAGGAAGTGGTACCCTGGGCATCGTTCTGAGCACTTTCCCAATAGCCATAGGTTGGTGTGTTTTCAGACAGCACAATATCAGTGAGGAAATCAGAGAGGTTGATAAACAAGTAGTCATGTGCATCCCCAAGGGGCTCAGGATGGAATCATCTTATTAGAAACCCATCAATGTCTATGGTTAGGGGTTCAGTGGTGTGCCTCAACACAAATGAATTTACCCTGTATGTGTGAGGCCTTGGCTCCATTCCCACCCATGGGGTCACTTTCCTTTCTTTCCTGGAAGGAGTGTTTATAGAGAACTTCCCTGCATATACTATGCTTTATGAAGGTCAGATGTTCCTGCACTCACCTTTGTTCATGTTTTCTCTACAGGGTATAAAAGACACCCTGAGCAGGTGAGTGTCCATAGAAACAGTGTGGGCCATGGAGGGGCATGGACATAGACACATGGATGGAAGGAGCCACTGAAGAAACCTGTTTTTGCTGTTATTCTAGGGTCTCAGCTATCAATCTAGAAACACCAGAGGATGTTTCTTTGGAACTGCATACTGTGCGCAGTGTCTCTGAGCTTCACTTAAGTGTGAGAAAAATTTTTAAGCGCCACCAAGGTATGTTGATTTAAGAATCCCTTGTTAATATTTTATTTAACTCTCAGTGTAATGCAGTAAAGGTAGGTGATTGTTATGCAATGGAGTGCAAGTGATGTAAGGACCTTGACCTAGTAACACATTTTACTAATACCAAAGCTGAGCTCTCTTTTTCTATAATTCTCTTTAATAATTATTTTCTATCTTTCTGTAATCTCTTATAAAACCCAATATTCAAGGAAAGACAAAGTTTTTTTAAAATGCTTTTCTCTAAGATCAAACCAAGCATCAGAGAGAAAGCTCAATGGGCCGAGTGCATGCTTCATGTTCAGAATATAGAGGTAGTCCCATCACTGAAGCTCCTATTCATGGTACCCTAGGGCCTTGTACTGATCAACTGGCCCAGGTGGCCTGGAATGACTCGGCCCCTGCACCTGTTTGGCAGTCCCTCCCCCAAAATTCTGTCTTAGCAGGTGTGCATTTTTGCATGTATGAGTGTTATTCAATTTTACGGATGTTCATAATATGTTTGAAAAATCTTTCTATTTCTAATATTTAAAAGGTTTGAATTACTCTCTCAATGATTTGTCTTTAAAAACCTTGTATTAGCATCAAAAAAAGAAGTATATATGGTATACAATTTGTATTGTTTTTTTTAAAATAATTATATGTATTTATTTGAGTTTTTAAAAAATAAATTCTGAAGTCACACCTGACTTTCTTTGCCTTTTGCTTTTCCTTGGCTTTATATTCAATGATCACTTCTGGCAGTGCTCAGTGAACTATATGTGATACAGGGAATCTAACCTGGGACAGCCCAGTTTGAGGCAAGCATCTTAATCACTATTGTATCTTTCTGGCTCTATTTAATACTTTTTTTTTAACTTTCTTCACATTGACACTTTGGATTTTTCACAATAGTTTAAGTAATAGCAACTGAAACCCAACTTATTTCTGAGTCAGACTTATGATAAGAATTGGTTGGAGAGAATCTTTACAATTAAGGGATTACTTATAAAGATGAGAAGTAGGATAGAGAACAAGGCGTAGTCAGTCCTGCACCCAAGGCAGGAGCGGGTAGACAACCATCATTGTCCTGGGCCTCAAGTGGCAGGTAGAGGATGCTGTAGGGGTGGGAGAGTGTGACAGGGGAGAGGAATGCAGAGCCTGCCAGTCAGCATGGGAGGGCCATGTGTCCTTCACACTGCTACTCAGTTGCTTTGTGCCCCAGGGCCTTCTCCTCTGCTTCCTGTTAGCTGAAATAAGCAGAGATAGGGAAGAGAGCACTGGTGATGCGTCCACAGCGGTCAGTCTTTCAGGGAGAGAACCAAGTGGGAAAAGTGGGTAAAGAAAAACAGGGATTTGAGGAACACTGAGAACATCCAGCACAAGAAGTATTTTGCATAGCGGATTTAAGTAACCTGGAAAAAAAGTCCAACACCCTGTGCTTAGCCTGGTAACCCAGTGAGTGGTTGACTCTTTTTTGAGTGGTTACAAGAGTGGTTAACATCCTTGTGCTCAGAGCCATAATACACCTGCTTTGATGTTTGTCTTGTACCCGGCAATCCTTGGTTCGATCACCTGGTCCTTTGAGTACCATCAGAAGTAATGCTGAGTTAGAGCCAGGAGTCACTCCTGAGCATTGCCGGGTATGGCCCCCAAAAAACATAATAGAAAATATTCTATTGATACATTTAACTTTAAATTTTTGATTTTACAGTCAAAGTCACACTTAAATTTATCATATATTTTACTATTTTATTCAAGGATGATTTTATAGCTTTCATGTATATTGACCCTAGGTTTATTAAATTTTGATAATTTCTATAAATTCCTTTTATCTAACTTAAGAAATTACAGTAAGCTCTAATACCTATGGAGCTCAATAATTTTGTGACCTGGGAGAATTCTAGGTCTTTAATCACAATCTATGAATTTAGTTCTTTTTTTTAACTTTTCTAATATAAAATTTGTAGTTTTTAGTTAGAGATGGAATTGTCTTATTTCTGTTTCAATATTCCACGATTTCTCAAGAGAAAAATGGGTCTTAGAAATGACAGAACCCATGTAAATTCTGATTGGTTCTATTCCTAGGTTTTTTAAACTAGAGATAAGGATGATGGTTATATTATTACTAGAAATTCTCAGATACTTCCCATTAATGAGACATTTTAATAACAATTATTTAGTTCACTCAGTCTTCCTCAACAGTTTCTAGTGACTCACATAGAGATTACACAGATTTTGAAAACTGAAACTCAACATGACTCTTAGACAATAAGAACAGAACTTTGGTTTGAATATAGGTTAGCTTTATTTTATAAAATACTCTAAATATTAACACATGTTAGGAAGAACACTGACAGTGGTGGTGGGTTTGGAGTTAAGCACTGAATGCCAAAAGCTGTTATGCTTAGCTCAATAAACTGCAATGAATAAAGAAAAAGGTTTTTTTCCTTTAAGAAGCAAGTGTGTGGGCCATACTGTGTAGACTATTTGCCTTGCACGTGGCCAACCCAGTTTTGACCTTAGGAATCCCATCTGACCCCCAAGCACAACCAGGAGTCTTTCCTGAGTGCAGAACCAGTAATAACTCCTAAGTGTCATCGGACATGACCCAAAAAAGCAAAAATAAATAAATAAAAAGAAAAAGAAGAAAAAGCAAGTCTGGTGGAGAAGAGACAGGGATAGAACACCCATAATTTGGTTCCCCAATCCCACCTTGAGTGACCCCTAAGTGTAGAGCCAGGACTAAGCCTCAGTACCGCTGAACATGGCCTCCAAACAAAAAATAAACATACAGAGTAACTCTTTTGAAGCTAGACCATAGTACAATGATAAAGTGCTTGCCTGGCACACCACCAAATCCAAAGCATCCCAAAGAGTACACTGCCAGCAATTATTCCTAAGCACAGTAGTAAGCCCTGGCTCTGCCTTGTGTGGCCTCTGCTCAAAAAAAAAATTAAAAAATCAAATTCAGTCTTTTGTCTTTTTTTCTCTTTTTTTGCAGTCAATGTGTCTTCAGATCCAGATACTATTAATCAAAAGATATTCATTGGTGATCCTGTCCGCCCCTGCGACATCCTCCAGCACCACACCCAGTCTGCAACCTGTCCCAGACCACAACGCACTGAAGATAGAAGTTATTCACAGACACATGCAGAGAACCAAATCAAACACCTGGAAGTTAAACAACTCAATGTTGAACAACGAGTGGGTCAGGAAGGAAGTCAAGGAAGAAATGAAAAAATATCTGGAAACCAATGAGAATGAAGACACGAGCTACCCAAACCTTCAGGACGCAGCTAAAGCTGTGATAAGGGGAAAATTTATAGATCTGCAAGCATTCATCAGGAAGAAAGAAAGGGCCCACATAAATAACATAACTTCACAGCTCAAGATCTTAGGAAAGAACCAGCAAAAGGAGCCCAAACAAGGCAGAAGGAAAGAAAGAACAAAAGCGGAAATTAATGACACGGAAACCCAAAAAAAACGATCCGAAAGATCAATGAAACCAAGAGCTGGTTCTTGGAGAAAATTAACAAGATTGATAAACCACTAGCAAGACTCACAAAGAAAGAGAGAGAGAGAGAACCATAATAAGCCGAATCAGAAATGAAAGTGGGGACATCACAACAGAAACCAAAAAAACGCAAAAGATCATCAGAGTCTACTTTGGAAGTCTGTGTGCCAGGAAACAAGAGAACCTAGAAGAAATTGGATAAATTCCTGGATTCCTATAATCTCTCAAACTTGAACCAAGAAGATATATTCAGGAATACCTGAATATATCTATAAATAGCAAAAAATTGAAACTGTAATAAAAAGTATTCCCCAAAACAAAAGCCCAGGTCCAGTTGGATTCACTAGCAAATTTTTACAAACATTTAAAAAGGACCTATTGCAAGTTCTTCTCAAGCTTTTCCAGGAAATTGAAGAAACAGAAACTCTTTGATACAGTTTCTAAGAGGCACATATATCCTTAATACCAAAAGAAACCAAAAGAAGCAAAGACACCACAAAAAGAGAAAACTACAGAAAGATATTCCTGATGAACACGGATGCAAAGATCCTTAACAAAATATTAGCAAATAGAATCCAACAACTCATCAAACAGTTCGTAAAACATGACCAAGTGGGATTCACCCCAGGGATGCAAAGATGGTTTAATATTCGGAAATCAATCAACATAATACATCATATCAACAAAAGAAAAGATAAAACCATTTGATCATATCAATAGATGTAGAAAAAGCATTTGACAAGATTCAGCCCAGTTTATGATGAAATCTCTCACCAAAATGGGTTGTGAAGGTTCTTTCCTCAATATAGTCACAGCCATCTACCATAAACCTACCACAAGTATTATCCTCAATGGGGAAAAACGAAGAGACTTCCCTCTAAGATCAGGGACAAGACAAGGATGCCCACTCTCACCACCTCTGTTAAATATAGTACTAGAAGTACTTGCAATAGCGATTAGGCAATAAAAATATATTAAGGGTATCAGATAGAAAAAGAAGAAATCAAGCGCTCACCATTCGCAGATGATATGACACTATGACCCTTAAAGCCTCTACCTAGAAACTCCTAGAAACAACAGACTTTCATAGTAAAGTCACAGGCTATAAAATCAATATACAAAAGTTCATGGCTTTCTTATATGCAAACAATGAGAGAGAGAGATGTATGTGATATGAAAAAAGCAATTTCGTTTACAATTATGCCTCAGAAAATCAAGTAACTCGAGATCTGCTTAACTAAAAATGTAAAGGACCTGTACAAAGAAAACTACAAAATGCTACTTCATGAAATAAAAGAGGACACAAGAAAATGGAAACATATCCCCTGCTCATAGATTGGGAAGAATTAACATTGCCAAAATGGCAGTAGGCCCCAAAGCATTATATAGATTCAATGAGATCCCTATAAGGATACCCATGAAATTCTTCAAATAAATGGATGTAACACTCCTGAAGTTCATATGGAACAACAAATCCCCATGAATAACTAAAGCAATTCTTGGGAAAAAGAAGATGGGAGGTATCACCTTCACCAACCTCAAAATCTACTACAAAGTGGTAATAATTAAAACAACATGGTACTGGAACAAAGTCAGAGTCGCAGACCAATGAAACAGGGTTGAATATCCTTACACACACCCTCAAATATATGATCATATAATCTTTGATAATGGAGCAAGAAATGTGAAGTGGAACATGGAAAACCTCTTTAACAAATGGTGCTGGCAAAACTGGACAGCTACATGCAAAAAACTGGGCTAAAACTCTATATAACACCGTACACAAAAGTCAGATAAAAATGGATTAAAGACCACAACATCAGACAAGATTCCATCAGGTACACTGAAGACAAGGTTGGCAAAACCCTCAACGATATTAAAGCTAAAGGTATCGTCAAAGATGACAAGCCAATCACCAAGCAAGTGGAAACAGAGATAAACAAATGGGACTATCTTGAACTGAAATGCTTCTGTACCTCAAAAGATAGAGTGTATACAAGAAGACAGAGACAGTATACAGAATGGGAAAGGATATTCACTCATCAGATAAGGGTTGATATCAAGGAAATACAAAGCACGGATTGAATTCTACAAAAAGAAAGCATCCAACCCCATCAGAAAATGGGGTGACGAAATGAACAGAAATTTTCTCAAAGAAGAAATCTGAATGGCCAAAAGACACATGAAAAAATGCTCTTCATTACTAATCATCAGGGAGATGCATATAAAAATGACAATGAGATATCATCTCACACCATAGGGACAGGCCCACATCCAAGAAACAAAAGCAATCATTGTTGGAGCGGACGTGGGGAGAAAGGGATTCTCCTTCACAGCTGGTGAGAATGCCGACTGGTTCAGCCCTTTTGGAAAACAGTTTTGGACACTTCTCAAATAATTGAAATTGATCTCCTGTTTGATCCAGCAATACCACTTCTGGGAATATATTCTGGAGATGCAAAAAGTATAGAAGAAATGACATCTGCACTTATATGTTTATTGCACCACTGTTTGCAATAGCCAGAATCTGGAGAAAACTTGAGTGCCTATAAGCAGATGACTGGTTAAAGAAACTTTGGTACATCTACACAATGGAAGTGTATGCAGCTCTTAGAAAAGATAAAGTCATGAAATTTGCATATAGTGGATCAACATGGAAAGTATCATGTTAAGTGAAATGAGTCAGAAAGAGAGGGCCAGACATAGAAATATTGGACTCATTTGAGGAATATGAAGTAACAGATTAGGAGACTAACACCCAAGAATAGTAAAGATAATTATTAGGATTACTCCACAGCTTAGTAGCTGGCCTCACATGCTGGTGAAAAAGGCATCTCAGATAGAGAAGAGACCACCAAGTAAAGGGTGCTGGGAGGGCCCTCTCAGGGTGGGAGATATGTGCTGAAAGTAGACTTAATGGCCACTTAATACCTCTATTGCAAACCGCAACACCCAAGAGAGAGAGAGAGAGAGAGAGAGAGAGAGAGAGAGAGAGAGAGAACAAAAGAGAATACCCTGCCATGCCACAGAGGTGGGGTGGGTTGGAGTGGACGGGATGGGAGTGATGGGAGGGATGCTGGGACCATTGGTGTTGGAGAATGGGCACTAGTGGAGGGATGAGAACTCGATCATTGTATAACTGAAACGCAAGTATGTAAGTTTGTTGGTTTGTAACTGTACCTCATGGTGATTCACGAATAAAAAATAAAAATGTATATATATATAAATAAAATAAAATAAAGACTAAAAAATTATTAATTCACTTTGATAAATAGAGAAGTACAATTTTCCCAAAACACTTAATAGAAAGAATCTCAAACTTGTGGAAGATGTAATGACATAATCTGCATGCTGGGCCATGAGCGCTTCACCTCAGGAAGACATTACTTTGAGGTGGAGATGGGAGTAGGAGCAGAGGGGGCTATAGGTGTTTGTCTGGAAAATGTGCCAAGGGACATTAGCATAGTACAAGAGCCTCAGTCTGGATTCTGGGTCATCAGACAGAGAAAGGACAAGAGGTGTTCGGCCCTTACTTCACCACCAACCTTCATTCCTCTGAGGAAAGAGCCTGAAGTTTTAGTGATTGTTTTAGACAGTGACACTGGCATCATATCCTTCTACTATGCTACTACTGGTTCCCACATCTACACCTTTCCAAAGGTCTCCTTCTCTAATGCTCTCAGACCTTTTTTTGAGGTCTATTCATATTTTCTTTCCTCTGAACTTCTGGAAATGATTAAGAAAAAAGGAAAGTCTCCTTTTAGTTAAACCAGCATAGAAAGTACTTGGTAAATCCAAGAAATTGGATCTTATTCCTTCCTGGCTATTTTCACATATCTATAATATTATCTCAAACATTTGTAATGATTAAACACTGTGTTCAAATAATGTACATTCAAGCAGTAACACTAAAGATAATGAGTGTGCACAATAGTGTAATAAAGCGAGATACAGTTATCGCAGTGCATATTTTGCATAGCGTGTCTCCTCTCCTTCCCTCTCCATGATTTCAGATCTTGAAGTTCCAAGATAACCTGACAGGCCAGTGAGCAGGATGACAGGAGCTCAGGAGGTTCGGGTTCTCTCTGTTTGTTTGGTACCATAGGAACCCAGTGGGAGGGAATAAGGAAAGCTGCAATTATATCAGCAAAAGCATGAGAAGGGTAGAGACTCCTGTGACCATTGGCATGTTGGTGAATTATTATCTGAGCTGCAGTCCTGAATGAGAGAGTCAGTGCAGACAGTGACCAATCTAGAGGGTCCTGCCAAGTGAAAGGTGAGGGAAATCTCACAACTGACTTAGAGTGAGATGCTTCACATAGAGACAAGATCCAGAGTAATACTGGGTTTTGATAGTGGTTCAATAATGGAAACAGTACAAAATTGATATTTGCACACTGAACTAGCAGAACCAATCCTGAAATAAATTTTACATTTTCATGATAGTTCTTGTTGGCAAGATTGTTGAAAGTTTTTATTAGGAAGCATACACCAAACAAATACTCTTTGTTTTCAAAAGAGTTTTCTTTTCTCTATTTTAAAAACTAAATAGGTATGTTTTCAAGATCACGTCCTGTAAGGTTTTCTCTGACCAGATGACACCACTCAGGACCAAATGGCAATAAGCTGATGAGATGCGACATTCCAGGAATCACATATCTCTCTGTTCCAGTATGGAAGGTAGGACTTAAGGCTTATTTGCTACGCAGAGGTCAAGAGATTTGGAGGCGACCTACTCAGAAGGAGGGGATTGGGCCTCAGTTTACCTTTTCACTCACTAGTTTAATTTTTAGTTTGTTTACATTCTCAGATAAGAGTATGCCTGATGGGACCAGTTCCTGAGGGCCTCATTTTGGAACCCATTTTTTCCTAAAAAGTTCCTTGTTCAAGTTGTCTTTTAAAACCTTCTTTTACTATCACTCTAGTCCAACAACCCAAGTTTGATATCCAGCACTCCATATAATCCCCTGAGCCCACCAGGTGGGATCCCTAAGTGCAGAACCAGATGATAAAGAACTTACAAAGCTCAACTCCAACAACCACAAATGATCCCTCTCAAAATGGGGAAGAAGATTAATAGACATTAGCCTCAAGAAAATGCATGGTGAATAAGCATGTAAGGTCCCTTGGGACCCCAGGAAAATTCCAGAGCTAAACTCTGCTAATTAGTAACTCTTTGTTTCCTGCCCCCTTCCAAGTAGAGCCTTAACTGTGAAACCATCAGTTGACTCTTCTTAATTGGGATGTAAATTCTGTCTCCATTTGTTGACCTTTCCTTATTGGGATGTAATTTCTCTCTCCATTTGTGACCCTTCCTTATCTATACCTCTGTTAGTAACTTTTTCCTTTTCAGGCTGCACCTGAATGTAGGCACCAGGAGCTGTAAATTAAAGGTAGCCAGGTAAACATAGAAGATAACCAAATGTCTGAGTTAGGAGATACCTTCTAGCTGCCCATGAAATGCTCGGGCTCTGCTGTAATGGCCAGTGAAGGCCTATATAAGATCCCCTTTGAAGAAGTTTGAGGTCTTGCCTGACTTCTTGACCCTGGCTAGCCAGCTCAATAAACTACCTCCTTGCTGATTGCATTCCTGCGTGGTCCTTGCTTGAGGTTGGAGATCCAGAGTCCTGCCCTAACAAGCATACTTAGAAAGAAGTGTTCTTTGTCACCTTTTATCAAATGCAAATCAAAACAACAATAAAATATCTTCTCCCACTACTGAGAGTGCCACATATCAGAAAAGGTTGGAGGGAGGATATTGCTGGCTGGCTGTAGTGACAGAGGAATCCGCATTCACTGTTGGTGAGAGTGTTTTCTGACTCAGGCACTAGGGCAACACCTTGAAGACTCTTTTCCAAATCTAATAACAAAGACCTAAGCAAAAGAGTTCAAGGCTCTGGCCTCAGATGTGGCTGATGCCAATTCACTGTCTGGCTGTAGAGCACCATCAGAGTCAACTCAGATTACTTCGGGGTGTGCCCCCCACTGGAGCTAAACTACTAGTGGCCCCACAGTGGACCCACAGCCTTTTCCCCATAGCACAGAGTTGTGGCTCCCAGCTCACAACACTCCCTCTGGCCATAAGTGGTTCCTGTGCTGTCCTGAGCACTGAATCCTGCAGAGGGACAGTGTGAAGGAAGGAGACAGAGCAGAGAC